GAAAATCATGATTAAAACATTTGTACTTGTGAGACAGCAACTCCAAGAACCAGTCACAGTTACCCAAGGTCATCCATATCAGTATTCTCTAGGTATGTTCATGCTTTTCTTCTAGGTTTATCATACCTAAAATTTCCTAAAGATTCTGTATGTCTGAAAACTGCTTTAATGACAAAGGGCAGAAACCTAATCTCAAGGGAACACATTAAGAGAGTTCAAAAACATTTTAGGCAAATCATGTTAGATGATCCATCAAAAACCTTGTTAGGGCTTCTGTGTTTCAGCTGTAAAATGGGTCATTTTCTTATGAATGCATCATCCTGTTTCTCATGAATCAAGCCAAAGAAGCAACTTCATACACATGCACAAATTCCACAGATTTAAACACCCAGAGACATATGTATTGCCAACTCCAAACTAATCAACGCCTCTGTCTATCTCTATCGAGTGTCCACTCAGTTTCTTTGAGGGTGTACATTTATACTTCTGCATCATAAATCCCTTTAATTTAATCCCTTACTAACTCACACTAAAAATTATTTTACCTTGATGGGAGTCTTTGATCCTTCAATTTATTCTACGTCTAGGATGGGTTTAGGTGGTATATTACCACTATGGGAACAACCAGAAGCCTTCTCGGTGACAGAATGGTTTTCATGGGTGTCATCTGCATGTAGTTTTCTTCCTTCAGCAGCACAGTATCTGAGTTTGAGGGATTTACAAGCACTCATAAGAGGTGAACTGAGTACGCTATTCCTTTGTCCCACTGGAGGTTTTGAATCATGTTGGATGCCAATTTGGAATATCAAAAGAAAAAATATCCTCCAAAGTTTGCTTTAAACATGAATCTCTTGAAAAGCTCAGTTCCTGAGGTCACTTTCTGACAAAAAAAAAAAAAAACACAAAACCCTGCAGACAGATTGGCTTGTGTTTCACGAAGCTACCAGGAAAGTCCCATCTTCTATGACGCAGGACAATAGGGAGTGACCTGTTGAATGACACAAAGGGAAGGCACTTCCCGTGCACCACTGTCCTGTCCGAATGTGCATGATGATTATCTTCATCCTGTCTCTCTGAAAGGCCACTGTTTCTCCACTGTGACTTCTCCTACATACCCCTTCCTCTCTCTCCAGAGGGCTTAGCTCTCAAATCTGTGTAAGGCATCAAAAGCTTGAGTGATTCTGAAGCGACCATGAAGATTCTTCTTATCAAAAGTGTAAGAATGTAGTAATTTTATTCATCATCAATGGAGAAATAATGATTTGTTTAGCCCTTACGTGAACCAACAAAACTTAGGGTAGAATGTCGAAGAATGAGTCTGAGTAAGTGTTCAGGGGCATATGAGCCATCAGAACAGTGCAAGTAGAGGTAGAGAAGGAATCCACATTGGTTTGACCCTCCGTCCTTTGTTTCTGAACCAAATGATTTAATTGGAACTGAGTTTATAGTCAGCATAGATTAGGGTTAGGGTTAGGGTTAGGGTTAGACGAGGAGAGCATGAGTGAAACTTTGCATACTGAACTTGAGACTCCCAACTTTCTCAGAATGCTCCTGCCCAATATAGGATCCCACACCCTCTGTGCAGTGAAACTGGAGGAACATCACTGGTGACTCGAGTCAGCCCAAGACAAAAGATCTGAAGGTAAGGTGTTAGTGTCAGGCAGATGTTCACCACCATAACAAATACCTAAGACAGTCAACTTATAAAGAAAGTAGGTGTACTTTGGGGGCCTCAGTTCATAATTAGTTAGAAGGGGTTGGGGTCCACTATTCCCCTCAAAGGCACACCTCCATGACCTTCCAGTAGGCTCTCATTAAAGATTCCTCCAACTCCAGCAGCATCACTCTGAGGACCAATCTTTTAACATACAGACCTTTGGGGGACACTTCTACAGCATGGATTCAGTGGGTTCCCAATGACATAGAGCAGGCAGACCACCACACGCTTCATCATGGAAAGTTCTGGTCACTGGGCACCAATGTTCTCATGACCTGGGTTTCAACCACACTAGGCCAAGAGGGAACAGTGACTTGTCAACGCTTGTCAAAAACCATAGCTTACTCTTGTGCATCTTTCCTTGGGGTTTGTTAGTATCTCCATGCAGTGCGTAAATCTGCTACTGGATCTGCTGAAGCTTAACAGCTGGGGGCAGAGTTGCCCATATCCTGAAGAAGACTTCCATCTTCCTTGCATTCACTTGAAATAGGCAGCTTTTCAGGATCCCCCAAAACTTGTTGAGTCAATACACCCAGATATAATACATGTATGCCACCAACCCAGACACAACCCCCGAGGTCCCTCCTCAGCCTCCCAGAGTGCCGAGATCACAGGTGTATGTCACCACGCTTGGCCCAGTTGCATTTTCTTATTCCAATGTTTCCCTCTTTATTGGTTTGGAATTTACATCATTTCCATTCTTAAAAGCTTACCAAATACAGGATGTGATTTTTAAAAATGTTAAATTTTTGAATTTTAAAATATCTATCACAGTAAAAGGCACATCGACATTAATCCCCTTCACAGTCTCCCCCCTCACTTTGAGCGCAATTATCCCCCCATCGTTGCCACTTTCTGAAGTGCTTTCGGTTCTCTTTCATGAGTGCCTTTAGTTGTGCCACTGTGGTTGCCTTGATGTCCTGAATTAATTCAAAACATTTACTTTTCATGGTCTGATGTTAAAAAACCGAAATTGCAGTGCCAGACAGGTGAATGGGGTGGGTGAAGGGCAGCTGGTAAGGTTTTTGTGAACCTGCTTTTCCACTGGACGGCACTTGGTGGCAGCATTCACACTTTGGAGAATACCTCATAGAGCAACTCACAGAGAGAACTTCCAGAAGCGCTTCAGAAAGAAGCAGTGATGGCCAAGTGTGTTCAGAGTGAGGGAGAGCGCTTTGAAGAGGGCTAATGTCCGTGTGTCTGTGCTGTAATACTTGTTTATTTAAATGTTCGAGCTTGTTTCTCTACTTTTTCAGACTTTTGCTAATCTTCAGTCCACTGTAACCTGGCTTCAGGCCCTGCTACTTCATTGACGCTGCTTTTATCGAACTTTCCAAATGCCGCTTTCAGGGGTCCCTTTATCTCACAGGATTTCCTTGCCCATTTGACATCTGTGGTCATCTCTGCTAGATACCCTAGTCCCGAGGGTTAGCTGGCCTTATCTTTTGTCTTGTTTCCCAAGATTTCTTCCTGCCTCTGACCCCCTCCTCGACTCCTATTACGAGTATTTTCCAACTAGTTTCGGCTCCCATCTACTGCTCTTACTTGACAAATCTATCCTGTGCAATCCCCTCCCATGGCATCAACTACATCTCTGTGGGGCTCTCAACTTCTCCCGCCCAGCCTCTCCCTTGAACCTGACTCTAAAATCCAGTTGCCAGCTGATCTACAAGACTTCCTGGATATATCGTGGGGAATTCAACTTTAGCATGCCAAACACCCAACTTCCAATTATCTACTTTTCCTCTTTCTGTAAATTCTAGAAACTCAGATTTTTTTAAATCCCTTCCCTTCCCTGTATTCCACGTATTCCATTATGGAGACCTTCCAACTCTAACTCTACCTCTGTGCTGCCTGCTTTGCCCAGAAAGTCCCCCATGGCTATACTGTATTCCAGAAAAGTGTTTCCCTGATAAAATAATTGTTGGTAGATGTTAGAAAACTAGCAAAAGAAATTACCTCCATCTCAGGTCTCTTCAGCAGCATCACTGTGTAGATGTATTCTGAACATAACAAGCTGTCTTTTCAAGCTTATTCTAGCAAGTCAAAGGAATACCTTGTGGCATTGAATGTGCCTTGTAATTGGGAATGAAATGCTGCTCTAAGTCACTCCATTCTCCTCCACACCTGCCCATGGCCTGGTTGGGCTCTTGTCCTCTCTTTGGTCCCCTAGCTGTGGTCTTGTTTCTTTAAACACACTGTGTACAGAGCAGTGCAAATGAGCTGCCTGGCACTCAGGTCCTTATTATCGCCTCACTGCCCACACAGCATGCTGAGTTCCTTTGAAGGGTTTATGGGTATCCCCGAAGGCTATACCTGTATATGTATGTTAAATTCCTTCCTTCCAGACCTTTGGTCTCACCTCACAGCACACCACAGACTCACATCATAGCTTAGAAATAACGAGCCGCTTGTGTGTGCCCCACGTGGCCTGCACCCTTGCAGCGCTTTGCTCACAGGGTACAGTCTGGAGTCTCTCCACACCCCACTTCTGGCTGCCATCGTCCCTGTAACACTCTCCTCCAGCACCGTCCTCAGGAAGGCTCCCTGGCTGGCCTCGGGGCTCCTGCTTAGCTCACATAACTCACCAGTGTGGAAGTACAGCCCTCCTTGTTCTGACAGCTTTCAGACTATCATCAGACAAAGCTCTTCTCTTGGCAGACTGGAGTTTTTAAACTCCTTGAAGTACCCAGGCACAGGGAAAGAACAAGAGACCGGAAGCCCAGCGTCTTGGGAGTCAAGCGTGGGCTCTGCCAAGTATTCTGTAGTGGATCCCTGACCAACTGCTTCTTTTTTTCTGGCATTTCTCTACCGATGGGAAAAGTATGCTCAGTCCTGGAGTTTTGCAGCCCTCCCAGGTTCCTTTAACTCTGAACAGCCCTTTTCTGACCACTCAGGCTTGGACCTGGACTCTGGTATATCAAGAATAGAATGTTTTTTCAACTATAAGAAGTGAGGGTTGGACACTGCCCACCTGTAACTTCAGCACTCTGGGAAGAGGATCACAAGTTCAAGCACAGGCTGAGCAATTGATCGACTTAGCAAGATCCTTCCAGAAGAAAAATACTGTCAGGGGCTGGAGATTTAGGTCAGCGGCATAAGCACCTGCCTGCAAGCAGGCAGTCGTGAGTTCGATCCCTGGTACCGATAAAAAGGAAAAAGACAAAAAAAAAAAAAAAAAAAAGAAAAGAAAAAACAAAAACAGGAAAGTAGAAAGCAGAAAATCTGTATGTACCTCTCCTCCTCCACAAGGGACACCCAGAAACAGTCAGCCAAGCAATGGTCCTTCCCTGCAGTATTTATTGAGAAATTTACACATACACAGGAGAAAGGCAACCAGGCGTTGTGGTTCCTACACATGACATCTTTTAAGCAAAGTTTTCTTGCTTGACTTTTCAGACGGAATGAACAATGGCTGAGGAGGAAGCTGCCCAGGCTCTGTCCCCTCACCTGGAAAAGGTGGGCAACAGAGCCGCCAGGTCCATGGGCGGAGCAGGAGGGAATGGAGATAGGGAGCTATCCGTGAGACCACAAAATTTTGAAACTGTAAGAAAAACTGGCAACAGTTTTCAGCTTTTCATAAATTAACTCCCCTCTTTTGTAAACCTGAAACAGAAACAAAAACACCAGAGCAAACGGGAGGGCGGGACATGGGATCCACACGCATGTGCACACGAGCAGTGCACACACTGAGCTCTGCGGTCCTGCGAAGGGCTGGGTCCTGCTGCCGGCGGCCAGGGTCTGTCTCTGTGGAGGACCTTCAGAGTCTTTGGTGCTAATAAAGGTGACTGAAGCGGGGATGCTAAAGCCCCAGGCCCAGAAAGCAATTCGGAGCAAAGCAGAGTAGCATGTTTGCTCATCTTCATAAGGTGGAGCTGGCTTTGCGCCAAGGCTAGGGTCAACCTGATCCAAGATCCAAAAGGGGTTTAACGTGATTGCAGTTGTTTCTTCATTGCTGTAAAGCGTGAGAACACAATGCCGCCCTCTTCAATCCAAAGTTCAAGCACGTGGCGACGTCTTATGAACACGTAGAAGGCCCTCTGCCTCATACACCTCTCCAGACTCACGTGAGGGCCCGACACGGGAGGAACTGAAAGACGTGCACACTTTTCCCGCAGTTCCAGTGCCTTCTGCTGACGATTTCTAAGGTGCTGGTGCAGGATAGAGTAAGGGCTGTGGCTGGGGAGGTGCTGGGATGGCTTCAGACATGAACAACGTAAAGCAACAGAGAGGTCTGAGTGTTTGGGAAGTGGCTGGGCTGGGCAAGATGCCAAACCCTAAATGACTTATTGAGCAATTTCTAAACCAAACATAGAGGTAGGAGAGGGGGATGGGTGAAGAAGGGGATGGGGAAAGAAGAGAGAGGGGAGAGTGAGGGTGGAAGAGACTGGCAGTCATACAGGTGTCTGTGTTTATTTCCACATCTGAGGACTGAGGGTTTGACTCGCTGCCTGTCCGTTTCCGCCGCTCATTGGCTGTCCATAATTCATCATGCCATTGGCTCCATAGAAGTTCATCCCAGCCATCTGCTGGGTCATCTGGAAGGGAGAGAGGACAGCTCAGGTCAGGTTGTGGGCATCCAGCCAGTTAGTGCAGAAGGCTGGGTAGGAGTTCTGTCTGCAGCTGGGGGAGGAGCAGGCAAAGGCAGACTGTCCCAGTACACAATGGCCCCACACCTTGCCAGTGCACAGGACTGAGTGTGAGCCTCCTTCTTTCCGGCCCCGCATCCTAACCATTGGCCGTCCCTTAACTGCCACAGCCAACCCTAAGGTAGAGAGCAAGTCCCCACAGCAGGGCATCTCTCCTCCAGCAGAGGGCGCTCCCTCAGCACGAGCCTGCACAGGATCCCGCTGGCAGAGGGGAAGAGGAACAGCAATGAATTATTCTAAAAGGACTGGGGAAAGGGGGAAGGGGCTGAGAGAAGAGCCAGCATGATGGGGCTCGGTGGACGGTGGACGGGACCTCTGTCTGATGAAATTAAACCACTGGCTCCTTGCCATCAACACAAAAATCAATTTGTCAAAGAAAAATACCAGAAATCTCCTGAGCATAGTACATTTGCTTTGCAAGAAGGTCTATATTCTTCCACTGATTTTTTTGAAATTCAAACTAAAATAGTATAATGAAAGTCATATATCTCTTCCTTAAATCTACAAATTAACATTTTGCCACATTGTCTCCCCCATTTATAAAAAGTTTATAACTTTGATGAGACTCAAAAATTGTAGGTACCATGACATTTGTCCGCTTGATAAGTCAGGAGGTATTCTGTGAGAACAAATTCATTTCTAGAACCATACCGGGACTGATACCCTAGAACAGTCAGGGCAAAACTATGGCAACTGCTGTTATTTACTTTCAAGACAAAAGATGTTAATGTAGGGTTTTTTTCTAAACTAAAAACCTCAGCATTCAGGTTTAATTGCAGTGCTGGTACTTCTGGGCTGCAGTTTGGGCACTCACCTTTAAAAGGTCTGCCATCCTGCCCTACAGAAATACTAATACAGTATTCTAAGATACATTACATTTCCTTTCCACCTTAATCTCCTTTAACTTGTACCAGTTCCCCCACCACCTTTCCTTTCCCCGCTTGACAGTGACATTTAAAAAGATTCCAGCCAGTTACATTGCAGAGTTATGTCTCAATTTGTATTTTCATACTTTCTCAACACAGGATCCAAGTCACGTATTTTTGGCAAGAATTCTACATAAGATAATGTGTTTTTCTCAGGACAAGATATCAAGAAACAAATGATATTAATTTGTCCTTTGCTAAGTCTCTATCATACTTGCTAAAGTCTCTATCATACTTGCTAAAGTCTCTATCATACTTCCTAAAGTATAACAAAGTAATGAGTCGTATCTGAGTGAATGAATACCTTGTTCTTTCTACAATTATTGGCTATCATTCTTGTGTAAAGAAGACTATCTCTCCCTCAATTCCACACTTTTCTCCCCTTAGTATTACTATGCATTCGCAGATTTTTTCCCATTCAGTGTATAATAATTCATTACTACGATTATTCTTTTTGATGTTCAAATTGGCTAGTGGGAACCTCTAGAAACTAGCTCATATGTCCTTTAAACACGGTCCCCTCCAGTACTATAACATTTCCTATTTACATAAATAAAAATGAAAGAAGGAAAGAAAGTGAATTAAAATATCAATGATGAAAGCTAGAAAAAGAATAATAAACTGAAAGAAGCATACAGAAGCAATCAATGAAACAAGACAAAATTTCAGGTAGCAGTGAAAATGGCTGGGTGCAGCAGCATGTGATTGTAATCACAGTGCTCGGAAGGCTGAGGCAGGAGGATCGCCCCAAGTTTGAGGCCAGGCTGGTCTACAGAGTAAGTCCTAGAACAACCTGAACTGCTCTGCAACATCCTGTCTCAAAAAAAGAAAAAAAGAAAGAGAAAAATGTAGAGCCAATAAACAAATCAAAACCCCAGAGCTTTTTAAAAAATTAACAAGGTTGATTGGCAAAACTTTTGATAAATACATTTGAAAATTTTGATGAATTGGGTAATCTGAGAAAACACAGTTTTCCAAAGGTGACTTCTAATAAAGAAAAACTACAAAGGAACTACTAAAACATGACATAGGGCCACACAATTTCACATGGGAATTCTACTAAATTTCAAAGACCAATACTACTTAAATTAGTCCGGACTAAAGAAAATGAAAACACAAAAATACTTTAAATGAAGTTAAGTCTGTGTACTGTTTCCCTTATTCTGCAGCTTAAGTCCCAATAAAGCCTCTTTGGGATGGAAAAAACACAAAATAAAAATAAACATAAACTGTAGGTTTGGCACAGTGGCACACATGTCTCGCCCCAGATGCTCAGCAGCCTGAGGCAGGAGGATGACCTGAGCCCAAGAGCTGAGGCCAACCTGGGCAACACAACAGTCGTAACACGGAGCACCTCTTATAAGCCAAGCACAGTGCTCACACTACTCTGCAGAAGGCAGCATGAGGACACAGCACCACTCCTCCAGAATTCCTGTGCCCATCCCTTCACGTCCACGCTGAATGACTTGCTTCAACTCTTTTCTTCTTTGCACAAGCACACAATTCAGTGTTGCTTTGTGACCCAACCTGAACATCCTTTCTCCTAACAGAGGAGCTGCCTGTGGATGTGAGTGATGTATTTGGTTGCAACTGTGTTATATATTATTGTTTATTATATAAGCCACACTTTGTACTCGACGGATTCTACTTTGTTTTTAAAAATTCTTTTGGTATTTAGAAAATTTCCCATTTCTGGTCTAATGATTATTTTTATATTAATATTGCTTGTAAGGCCCTGGCCTCCGCCTCCCTTACTTAAACATCTACGATTGGGTTTGAGCGCATGTTACATACACCCTTTGACTTCCATTTCTTTTGCAGTAATTAACTTATCACGCTTTCCTTTTTTCCTCCTCTTTCCTTCCATTAGTTTTGGTTGTATTACTGCTGGTCAGAACACAACATGTCCTCTTCTGCCCCGTCACTACCTTTGTCTTAGTCTTAGATGCCCACTTAGACGTTCAGTGCTTACTACCAGCCCTTCTTCTACAAACACCCAGTCACTAGGTGGAGTAGATGAAGTTTCTCTTCTGCTACATTGCTCAGGAAAGGCCAGTAAAAATGATATTTCCATAATTCTGATAAATTTAAGATCGTTTGCTTCACAACCTTCATATAACGGGAGCTTGATATAAAGTATTTGCACGTATGTGAGTGTCCTGAAGGAAGCACTCGTGCTGTGGCGCCGCCTTGCAGTTGCTAAGTCTGCTGTCAACCTGGGTGTTCTTGTTTTGTTCTGTTTTGTTTTGTTTCATATTTGTGCAGGGTGAGGGGTGGAAAACATCAAGAAGCTGAAGACCTGAGGACTGTTCTTATTTTGGAAAGTGTAAAGGTTTACTAAGATGTTTTAGAGTTGACTGTTCTGGGTCAGTTTTCCCAGAATTGCAGTGGGCTCTTTAAATATTAGATTTAAGTCTTATTTCACGAACGTTTTCTGAGTTTTTTTGTTTGTTTGCTGGTCGGCTGGTTGGTACTGGGAACCGAACCCATGACTGTGCCTGCCAGGAAGGTGCTGTGCTGCTGAGCTTTATTCTCAGCCTAAGAAAGTTCTCTTGCACTTACAGTTGGAAATATATTAATTCTGTCCCTCTCTGCTATTTTTATTGCTTGGGTATCTCCAAGTATATGTACATTAGGTTTTCTTTGCCTACTTTCTGTATTATTCCTATCTATGTTTATTTTTCATTCTCTTAAGCTGTTCTACATCTTTTCTCAATGATGTGTGTTGTGTATCCCCAGCTCAGTCTGTCCTCTGGTTACTTATACATGAGTATTTCTAACATGATTTTGTCTTTGTTTTCTTTCCTGACTTCAGTAAGCTTTCACAATTTCTAGTTTTTGTCCAGTTTAGTTCTAAGTGTTTGAATTTTTGATTCAAACTGTTTTGTCTTATTTGCAGATGCTTTTATTAGTACATGATGATTACATTCTCTGTGAGGAGCTGTTCTGTGCAAGTAACACATCTCAAATCCTTTTCATCCCTTTCTTTTTCCCTTCCTCCATGTCTTGGTCACCTTCCCTTTTGCAAAAGTTCTGTCCAGATATTTATTAAAGTTGGTGGGCTATGCAACAATATTTTCCTACTTCATGACATTTTTAAAGGAGAATTTTTATTAACTGAAATCATTTTCTTCAGTGCTGGGAATTTAACTCAGGGCTTTACACATGTCAAGCAAGTGCTCTGCTGCTGAACTGCGTCCCTCCCCTTTTTATTCTTTGGACAGGGTATTGCTAAATTGCTCAGGCTGAGCTTGTGATCCTCCCCTCTCAGCCTCCCATACAGCTGAGATTACAGCTATGTGCCACTGCATCTGTCTACCTGAAATGTTTTGATTTTTTTCTATTTTCTTCTCATAGTAGTTTTGTATAAAACCCACCCGCTACAGTCTATTTATTTTGTGGTGCTTTATTTTTCTGGATCAGCAGTAATGCAAACAGGTGTTGTGAGAGATGGGTGAGGCTTACTACAGTTCTGAGTTCAAGAGTATTCTCTTATGTTCCTGAAATGATTAATGATTATTTGGGAGAAGGACAGAGTAACTTCTATCTTTTCAGTGGTGGTGGGGACCAGGGATCAAAGTTATGTCACACTTACCAGGCAAGCACTTGAGCTGCTGAGCTAAATCCCCAGCCCTGATTTTGTTTACTTTTGAGGCAGAGCCTCACTGTACAATATGGGCCTTGAACTCACTATGTAGGCCAAGCTGGCCTTAAACTTGCAGCAATCCTCCTGCCTCAGCCTTCTGAGTACTGGGATTACAGTTGTGCACCATCACACGCAGTCTAACCTCGGATTCTGAGACATTCCTTTCCATTTGCCTCATCTGTTTCCCCTCACCACCTCATCTCCAGAGTCCCTCCTCTTTCTGCATCATGTTTCTCTACCCAACATGCAATGCTTTTCCAAAGCTACCACCTATGACCCTATGTATTTCCAGTCTCTTGTTTTGGGTCCCCCAAGTAAAGGGAGCTCTAACCTACCGAGTCTCAGACTCAGTAATGTCTCCATTAGGGTGGGTCTCCTCCTTCTAGGGCACGACTTTCTCATCCCAGGCCTCTGTTTCCTCTCCTCTTTGTGTAGTCTCCTTTAAGCCACTGGCTATTACGGTTTAGGTCTAAAATGTTCCCCCCAAATCTTGTGTGTTTGGAGGGTGACTGGATTCATCCACTGCTGAGTTCAGCAGCCAAATGTGCTGTCAGGAAGCGGGGCCTGGATGGAGATCAGTACCTGGAGATGTGACTTGGAGAAGGGTACTCTTGTCCCTGGCTTCCCCATTCTGTCTGCTGCCAGGCTACCAGGAGATGCAGCTGTCCTCTGATCAGGATCCCATGACAAGAAAGTGACTAATGCACTGGCTCTGCTGCATTTGGGTTTTTCTGTTTCTAATGCCAGGCCATTTAGGGTTTTTATAGTGGTGGGCAGTAGGTTATAATGGTCTTATTAGAATTTCTCGTTTGTCTACATATGTATTTCTCTAGGGCTTTTTATCTTTTTGAGAAGATATAGAGAGATTCAGATTTAGGTAATTACCCTGCTTTCTAGGAACTATGAACTCCTCAGAAATTCTGATGTTGGACAGGCCTTCTAGGAAAAACAAACAAACCTCAGTGTTTCTTGGATAATCTCATCTGCCTGGAAAAATTCATGGGATAAGGGAGAGTCAAAAAGTGAAACCTGGGGAATGCTTGTACGTCATGTCCCAGGAAAAATGGGGCAGCTTACCTGAGTAAGATTCCACTGCAGCTGCTGAGCAGGCTGAACCCCATACATAGTCTGGGGCATAGCTGCCATGCCTGCCATGTAGCCAGGCTGCTGGGTGGCCATCATCCCATTCGGCACACCCATCATTGACGCCTGCATGCCGCCCATATAACCTGCAGGCATGGCCATGGGGGCAACCATTCCAGAGGCTCCCGGCTGAGCTACCATGCCCACTGGTGGGGGCATCATGCTCCCCATCATGTTGCTAGGAGGTGTCACCCCTGGGAAGCTGGGATAGGCTGCAGGATATGCCATCTGAGCAGGAGCCATGAACATTGCTGCCAAGAAAACACACATATCAGTCTGTTAAAGAGGAAAGGACAGAAAGTTATCTCATGTTCACTAGCTACCCTTTCCAGTTAGAATTTTTCAAAATTACTCAACTTTGAATGCTGCCGTACGTAGCAAAACAGCCACACAGATTCTCTACAAGACTTGCTGTGGCTTACCTGAGAGGTACCAACCTGCCACTTCCCATCAGGGAAGATCTAGACCTTGAGACAGATTTCATGGAAGGGTGACAGAAGGTGGCTCTGGGTTACATTGCTCATCTATCTGCTGATACTCTGTAACTCTACCAGTAATGTCACACTCAGGCTTGTCTGGTGTATGAGGTTCCTGTCCCCAAAGTAACTGTCCCTGACACAACAAATAATTCTTTGATACAGTTCTCATGACTCTCCCTGGCACATACCAGGACTCCAGGGACTCTACCTTGGGCAGGCATCTGAGGCGTCTGTGATCCATACAGCGAAAGGATGGAGTCTTTAGAGAGCTGCTTCTTGCCTACTTCCTCTGATTTGCTCCCTGGCTCCGGAAACAGGTTCAAGTTTTCAGGAACAGAGCCGGCGCTCCCTGCGGTTGGCATGGAACCTACCACCTGGGGGCACAGAGGGCAGAGGCAGAGTTGGAATAGTCCCCACAGAGGTCCATGAATTCCCTCACAGGGCTAGGCAGATCCTCTTAATAAGAGTGGGCCTCTGCCAGCTGGTCAAGCTGAAGTCCTCTCCCGCGTCTGATCTTCTGTCAGTTCCTCAAGCTAATGTCCCTTGATGTTTTCTCTTACTTTCTTCTTCTTTTTCCCTTTCCTTGCTTTCTAATTAAAGCTTTTCCCTATTACAAAAATAAAAACAAAGACTTCCTTCACCTTTCACTGCTTCTAACATTTGCAATAAGAATTCATGGCTAATGTCAAATTAATACTTTCGTGACACCTTTACCATACAAATAGCTGATAGTGCCTTATAGATAAGCTCTGGTACAACTCTTTGTTCTTCAGGAAAAGAATGTAATTTGATTTTTTAAAATGATGTATCAAAGAGATGAGTTTAGTTCCCAGTGTGGCCATTTACCAGGTGTACATTCAGAGGCCCAGTCACATAATTTTTCTGAGAATGTTTCTTCATCTATATAGAACGTCCATTTTGTGGCCTTCTAATGAATATTTAAAATTATTAACGAAATATTCAAAATGGACTGGTGTGGTGATGCATGCCTACAATTTCAACTTCTCAGGAGGCTAAGGCAGGAGGATCAAAAGTTTGAGGCCAGCTTGGACAACTTACTGAGACTCTGTCTCCAAATAATATTTTCAAAAGGGTTAAGGACCCAGTACTCAGAAGCTGAGGCAGGACAACTGCTGCAAACTCAAGGCCAGCCTGGGCTACACAGTGAGTTCAGGGGTAGCCTGAACCATACAGCAAGACCATGTCTCAAAAAAAAAAAAAAAAAAAAAATGTTAAGGATATAGCTCAGCAAACACCTGGCACTGTTCCTTGTACACAGCAGCCATTATACAAATGGTGGCCCTTAAAGCCTCAATTTTTTTTTTACTGATAGTATCCTGACTGGAACTCAGGTTGAGGAGCTGACTTAAAAGTATAGATGTGACAACAGGACACATTTTTGATAGGCTACTCAAAGGGCTACCCTTTTGGGACAGGAGACAAAATGGCATGAATAGCCAACCAAAGGACCTATATAATCCCAGCACTTTGAGAGGCTGAGACAGGAGGATCATAAGTTTGAGCCCAGCCTAAGCAACTTAATAAGGGGAAGAAAGAAAGAAAGGACAATGGACAGTAATCTTAAATTGTGACAGAGATGACACAGTATGAAGAAAACCAAAGTCCAATTCCATGAAGGAAGCATAACTTGGTTCCATGATTAAATTATCACTCTTTCTGGAATGCTCTTTAATCCTGAGAAACCCTGAAGACTCACCTTTCTGGAACCTGACGAAGATGGAGATGGAACAGAGGTCAAAAGGTCTAAATCCTTCTCCAGGGTATTGCTGGTCTTACTATTTGTGATAGAGCAAGCCACTGGAGCATCTAGAAAGAGAGAGAAGTCAACATGTGGCACTGCTTATTAAGGCCGCATCTTCCTTCTATATATATAAAGAGAGGTCAGAGAAGGTCTAATGTCTTATATGAACATGAAAACAGAGTTCTCAGCAACTACTTAGCTGTGATAGAGCTGCTCCCAAGCGGCCTCACCCCACATTCCTGGTGGCGCTCCAGGGCGGCCTAGAGCCCAGCTAACAGACGCAGGGCAGCAGAAACCGAGGCCTGAAGGCTAAAGGGTTGGCCGGCTCCCTTCTGGCTTGTGAAAGGCAAAGTGTACAGAAAAGTACAGAAACTAGCTGTCTAGGCAGCCAGTAACCTAAATCAGCAGCAGTGGACTGAAACAAAGTATAACCGTTGGTGCAGTAAGAGGTAGGAAACAGGCTTTCTTTCTGAAAGGAGTAAAATCACTAGCTCAGCATTTCAAAGGGGAAACAGCCACAATGTAACAACGCCATCTCAAAAACTGGTTGCAGGGAGCTAGGCATGCTGGTGCATATCTAATCTCAGCATTCTGGGAGGCTAAGACAAGAGGGTTACAAGTTTCAGCCCAACCTGGTAATTTAGTAAGACCCTTTGTCAAAATGAAAATGAGAAAAAGAGCTGGAAATACAGCTCAGGGTGAAGGCCTTGGGTTCAAGCCCCACTACCACACGTTAAAAAAAAAATGGGGGCTGGGGATTTAGCTCAGCGGGGTAAGTGCCTGCCTAGGAAGCACAAGGTTGTGAGTTCAATCCCTGGTATCCTCCCCCCCAAAAAAAGGGTTGTACCTGAAAAATCAAGTGGTAAAAGTAAGAAGCAGAATTCAGGAAAGTGCAAAATGTTCCACAGAGCCCCTCAGGGGGGCTGCAAACATTTACTGAGTGCTGAGTATGTGCCAGGCACGGGGTCAAGCGCTTTGGGGGCGTCACTCCGCTTAATCCTAACATCTATGAAGTAGGGATTCTCATCATTGCCAGGAAAGTGATGCTCAGAGTAAGGAGTGCAGCTCAACGTGATACAGACAGTTAACGGGCACAGCTGGAGCTCTGGCTCCAATGCATGCTACACTGGTGCCCTGAAAAATGTCACAGTAAACACTTCCTTTGAGTAACTGCTCAGATGAAAACAACAGGAAGAACACGAGAGGATTATCTTAGTGAAAAAGACACAAAGAGTCCTCTTTCCACCAGTGTTCCCAGGGTCACTGAGAATTCATCAAAGTTTGTAAGGATTTGGGAGCTGAACAAACTAACTCTTACCAAGGCCCAACAAATCCATGACTGGCGCTGCGGATTTCGGGGAGCTTTTCCGAGGTAGCTGTGCATCTTCCTTTTTCTGTGGCTACAGAGAAAATAAAGAAATAGGCACGTGTTTCTGAATTATTTTCCTCCCCCCACTGTAAAAACCACAGGTTTTCTTCCTGCTTAGCTTTCTAGAGTGGCAGGGATTTCTGAAGCCAACAAGTGAGTAGGAGATTTGACAGAAAGTGCAGTTTTTTGGTCCCTCCCCTCAAAAATCAAGGATAAAGGTAGGTAGAACGGTCAGGAGCCAATAAATCTTCCAGTAGTTAGAAAACTTTTAACAATAAAAGGGCCGCTGGGAGTGGTGGTGCAAGTCTATATCCTAGCACCTTGGGAAGCTGTGGCAGCAGGACTGAAAGTTTAAGTTCCACTGGGGCAACTCAGTGATGTGGCAAAACCAATCTCAAAATAAAAAAGGGGCTGGGGCTGGGGCTGTAGCTCAGTGTGAAGGCCCTGGGATCAATCCCCAGAAGAGGACAGCAGGGAAGGGGGCAGGAGAGGAGAAGGGAAGGAAAAGATGAAAGAAGAAAAGAGAAAAAAGGAAAATACATTTAAAAATTACCTAATTCACCCTGCCCTATCACCTGTAACTGGCTGCACAGGCACCGCAATTCACAGACTCTTCCTTAAGCAATAGTAAAAAGTCCACTCCCCTAACAGTCCAAGCTTGTAGAGAACCCACCACTACCGCCACAGTGCATTCTATCGTAAAAGGAGTTACTGTGGCCTGACGTGGGCTCCTTTTAACTGGAAAAGGAACACAAGGTACAGGAGACCTAACAAGAGACAGCCTAATGTGGGGCAGCCTCTGCTCTGAAGGTGACATGCAGCCACTACATTCTGGTGCAGAAGGTGCCTCTTGCTTAGATGGGACAGATGCAGTTCCCAAGTTTCCAACTGGCCCCACAGGAAAGTTTTAGAGCACAGTAGGGATAACGGCAATGGTCTGATCTAAATGTGGAGCCCTGTGCAGCACGGTATCGAATCCCCCTATTGCATGCTCTCCTCTTCTCCCTTTCCATGCATGTGAACACACCCACCATCATCCACATGATGCAATTACTTTTCTACTTACCATTTTCACTTTCTCAAAAACAACAGGTTCCATTTTCTTCTCCGTAGCTGGCTCATTTCCTCTTTTCCATTTGTCATCTTTTTCTTTCTGAAATGATTTAATAAGACAATGAACATGGTGACTTAATAGTTCAGTAAATGATAATTCCAAATGTCCAAAAGGTACAAGAATTCCAAATGTTCCTAATGAGTCTGGCATAGGACTGTGACAACTGTGGGACTGTCTCTTGGGATGGGGATTTCTTCCACATGAACCTTACTAAGCAATACATATTCCAAACATGTTAGACACTCACCCTCTAGGTTTGTCTAACCCACTTATGACTCCTGAAATTTGCAGCATAAGTTACTTACAGAGGCCAAAAAGATCGTTCCTCATTTGTGTCCGGAATTTGTCTCCATCTCATCTTGATAATTTGGTTAGTAAATTCATGTTCATCTTACTCAATTTATGTCCTTGTGACTTTTAAAATTTAACCATAGATCCCTCTTACAATTCATCTCCTTTTTTTAAAAGTCAGAGAAAAAAATCCCTAGTTTCAAGACTTAACATGAGAAAAACCAAAATTAAGGAAATAATGTGAGAAAGAATTAGGGAATTCTAAACAGGAGTTATACTATGTTTTTAAAGATGTCCTGAATGAGTCACTGTATAAAACCAAAAAACATATCAAAAATAAAACATTGGGAAGTCTCTCTCAGTTCTTGTTATTTTCAGAGGCAATTTCATAATGCTTTCATAGATGATAAGACTATTGGTCACATGTTGACATCAAATAAACATCTACTAAATGGAAAATAGAACCAAAACGTAAACTTGAGGGCTGTGGATGTAGCTCAATAGTAGAGCACTTGCCTATCAAGAATGAGGTCCGGGGTCTGGGGAGTTAGCTCAGCGGCATAAGTGCCTGCTTGGCAAAGGTGAGGTCGTGAGTTCAATCCCTGGTACCAAAAAAAAAAATATAGACTCAGGAGGCTACGAGGTCACTATGATCACTATGAAAGCCAGCCTGGACTACACAGTGAGACCTCCATGTGGAAAACAAACAAAATCATCATCATCATCATAGAAGGCACACAGATGGCTCATGCCTATAATCTCAGTACATGAGAAGCTGAGGCAAGTTCAAGTCCAGCCTGAGAAACTCAGTGACTTAATGAGATCCTGTCTTAAAATAAAAATGAACTTTAAAGGAGGCCTGGGGATATAACTCAATGCAAAGGCCTAGGTTCAAATCCTAGCACGACAGAACGGAACGTAACCAAATCAAACAAAACAAAATGTGTAGCATGTGTATGAAAAAAATGCAGTCATGGTGACTGAAAATGCATTTTCAGTAGGAGAAAGATACTAACAGTAATGATACCTAATGTTAGTAGGGATGAAGTAAAGCTAGTATTCTTTTTTTTTTTTTTTTTTTTGTCTTTTTCCTTTTTATCGGTACTGGGGATCGAACTCACGACTGCCTGCTCGCAAGGCAGGCACTTATGCCACTGAGCTAAATCCCCAGCCCCAAAGCTAGTATTCTTATACAATGCTGAAAAGACTAAAATGGTACAATTTTTGGAAAGTAAATTGGAAAAGGTATGAAGACACAAATGTTAAAATCCTTTGATCTAAACAGCACTTTAATGAATTTTTAAAAAAATAATCTAAAATATGAAGAAAGTTATACACACCAAGACATTAATCTCAGAATTATTTATGGCTAAATAACAACCTTTATGGCACAGAAAGGGAACAGTAAACTATGATAATACCTACTGAAAGATGTATAACATCATAATGTGTGACGTGTTAAGTGGAATGGAAGCAAGAGACATCCTACACTAGATTTTCATTGTGTTTCTAGAAACTATATATGCAAAAGGGGATGTATCAAGATAATCATTATCAAAGACAAAGAATCTGCATAATTTTTAATTTTCTGTAAAAATGCATAGCACACACAGCTTTGTCTTTTTCATACAGAAGACTTTACATTGCAAATGAAAATCTTCTATTAAAAAAATACTTGCTTGGATTCATGCACCTCGGGAAAAAAAAATACTTGCAAGAAAAATAAAAAAGTTAACTTGGGCTGAGGCTTTAGTCTAGGGGTTGTGCCTAGGAAGCACAAGGCTATAGGTTTGATTCCCAGCACCACCACAAAATAAACAAACAAAAAAGGATATACTTTAAGAAAGCCAGTTTTTCTTTGAAATTTTCACTTGGCAAATATCAATTCTTCACATAAAAATCTTCATGCATATTAAAAAAATCTAAATACATCACATTAAAAGATGTTGATACAGCTTTCCAGCAAGCAGGAGGAATATACTTCCTTACCAAAAGAAAAGGTCTGTTTTTGTGGGGATGGTACCCTCGCCATGTACTTATGAACACCTTAGGGACTGTCTTCATGCAGCAACTATTTCCTGATCTCATCTGATTTTATATTTCAGGCACAATGAACACACATACCATAGTTTTCAACAAATAAAAGGAAATGTGTGTGCTCTAGTTCTAAACCCTTTATGATAACGCCATTTAAACCATAGCTGTATGCTGGGTTATTTCTTCCTAGGAACATTTATGATATAACTGACAAAGTCTTTTTCTGGACAACTGTGAGGGAATAGCCCCTCATATTTAGTTGGGCAGGAATTATTTTTCCCTAACTACATGTAATACCCGGTACTGACTTGCCTGTGTTGAAATTCACCTATCAGCTAATGCCTATTTCACACAGCTTCTGTCTTATGTTTCAGATCTTAACCATGCTTCAGATGGAACGTGTTCTTTGCAGTCAGTATCAGTTTCCCACCAAAACCCTTCTCAGCAGCAAGAATGAGTACCCTCGGCAATCAGTCCATTGACACTCTGGTCATCAGCAGGTAAAGACACAAGTACACACTGGTCAAACTGAAGGGCACTCTGCTGATTTAATTACACCTGTTTCTGCTTACATTATTTACAGAAAAAGAACATCTACATATATATCAGTGTATATGCACTATCGACATATATGTATACACATACATGTACACGCTTACCATTCTGTTTGGCCTATTATGCCCGTGTTCATTTTAAGAAAAAAACTGGAACTGGGAATCAATCACACCTACACACAGATTAAGGTGAAGAATCTACTGGTGGTTTTCCCTGCCTGTCCTCAAGGCAAGAGTCTGTTTAAGGATACTGCACGGTCTTTCCTCAATAACATTTTCTACTTTTGCATTATTTACACAAAAGTGACGATTTTAGAGTACTTTTGCACCAATTCTTCAAATTCCTCCCTGGCCTTATTAATAAGCAAATTACTTATTTTGATTAAAATCTGAAAGATTTACAACCAACCCTAAAGGCATTGATGTCCAGACTTCGGTCCATGTATTTCTTCTTCTCATATTTATCTCGAATAAATCCCTCAACCGCTCTGCAAAAAGCTCATTAAGGATTAATCAAGTCCTTCCCACAGTAAGAACATGAAAGGTCCGTTTGTACCACATGCAGTACTATTCTCTTCCTTCCCGCCTGCCTGGTTTCCCCACATGACTCATGTCTCTTCCTATGCAGTTTTCTTGCCCCAAATCTTAAAATGCTTCCTTCAAGATACTGCAGAGAAACTTTTATTTTGTATGATTTCCCTTTAGAGTGAGGACAGCAGCAAGTCAGGTCAACCTGCACATTGACATCAGATTCACAGCAGCTGATCCTTATTACAGGTAAAGCAGTCAGTTATCTATCTCAAGGCCCTTAGATCACAGGACTCAAACAAAGCCATCTAAATCCTCTTCAAAAACACAAACATTTGTACTTCACTGCCAGATTCTGATCAAGTGCGTCTTCTGATCAAGTGGGTCTTTGAAGTTAACAGGTTCAACTTCCATGTAACAAAAGGTAAGACAATTGTCTATAAACCACATTTTGAGAAGCCACATTTTTATAGGATTTGGTTTTCTGTCTAGGTATTAGGGAAAGGGTGTTAAATCTATGGCACACATGCCACAATAGTGGGCTGTTCGTATTACTGAAAACTAAAAGGTTCGCCTCATTGTGTTATGGGGTTCCCCTGTTGAGGGGATGGAGGAAGAACATTATTGATAAAACTGGTCTACAAGTTAATTCACAGTAAGATATAAAAAGGTTATAAAAACAAATGATAGTTTGCTGACTGCCAGAATTCAATACAGTACAATAAACTATTCTTTTTATCAAACAATTGTTTCAGAGTTATACAAACTAATGATGTCACTTTATAAAAAAATTCACAGTGAAATCATGCAGTTACAATTCCTGAGTTTTCTCTATGTGGTCCTACATGACAATCTTAACATCAGCAAGCATACGTATAGTTTTTCTGATGTCTTGGTTGCAGGAGAAAGGAAAACCCAGGCCTCTGACTAATCCATACAGAGATGGTCTAGTTAGATCATAAGGACTTCAGGCTTGTCTAATGCTCCCTGAACATCAAAATACCACTTAGCGTTCTAAGTTGCTCCACAAAAGATACGGGTCTATCTGAGGTCGCCGAAAGGTCTCAGGAAGATAGGCTTCATAAAGTCGGTTTGCTTTTCCATTTCCCATCTCTTGCATGCACTGTGATCAAAGAGAATATAGAAAAACATGGAATGTCAGATTAGGAAAGAAAACTGTCTCATCCAATTCTCCCACTGTACAATTAAAAAACCAATCTAGACAGAGCCAGAAATAATATTCAAATTTGTATATTCTGGTTTCCAATCCATGATTTTTACTGCCCTGCTAGGAATTTCCAATCACTTATCCCCACATCTGTCTTTCCTCACTCTATGAGTTCCTTTTGTAGAAAAATTTGCCTGCCAAGATACATTTAACTCAGTAATAATTCAAGATTTCACTTGAAAGTCCAAGATACATAGCTGCCAATAAAAAATGTCAAGTTGGCAGCCAATAATGGGTGTCATAATTCTAACTTTCTACTACTGTGCTAATTAGCCCCATTACTAGCAAATGTGTATTTCTCATTAGATTTTTGAAACAGATCCCTTAAAACTTGTGAAGGATAAGCCCCAAGAGCTAATAATCTTCAAACTCCTGAATATCTCCATGATTTGTAACTTCCTTCATAACATACAGTAAGTGAATCACAACTGCACAATGTAACTCACCATTTTAGACCTTTTAATACAGTCTGAACATTTCTAAGGACAGTTTCTGATTTGAATAACCTCATTTCTTTTCTTTTTTTTTTTTTTTTTTTAATCTTTTTGGTACCAGGGATCGAACTCTTGACCTTGCGTTTGCCAGGCAGGCATCTGTGCCACTGAACTAAATCCCCAGCCTTGAATAACTTCTTATTTTTATCATCAACTTTGGCAATTAGGTTTTTTTTTTTTAGACCCTACACTTTTACCACAGTCGCCCCATGAAGAGAAAAAAAACTGAAATTTTCAATGTAGGCAGGAATAAAGAACAACAAAATCAAGGTGTAGAGTAGGTCAGTTGGAATTAACTTAAGCCTCTCCTAGCTCACCAAGTTAACAGGGAGCAAGATATGTGCTTGAGTCCAGACTAGGTTAACCAGTGAGTTTAAGGCCAGCCCCAACTACATAGTGAGATCTTCCCTCAAAGAAAAAAACAAAATTACTATGTGTATTTTAGTAATAAAACAATACTGTAAGTCTCTTATTTGAGAGGTTGGTTGTTTGAGGGCTGGAGTTTGAACCTCAGACCTCATGCTCTCCTCATGCTCTACCAATGAGCTAAATTCACAGCTGGGAATTTTTTTTTTTTAAGTGAACACCTATATTTAAAACTATAAATGCAAGATCTGCAAATGCCAAAGGTCTTAGAAAATAATCCAAAGAATACTTCTTAATCCTTTCATGGATTCATGGGGTTCTAGAACATAGATTGTGAGGTTTTTGGTTTGTTTGATGTATTTGTTTTGTTTTGTTTTGCAGTACTGAGAAATTGAACCCAGGGCCTTCACACAGAGCTACAATTCCAGCTGTTTTTCACTTTACTTTGAAACAGAGTCCCACTAAAATGAGTTGTCCGGGATGGACTCCTGCCTTCAATAAGATTAAAAATTTCTCTACTAAGGTACAAGAATTTGGTTGGCTTTTTCTTTGTCTGTTTGTTCGAGACAGAGTCAGGATTCAGGCTGCCCTTGAACTCACTACTGAGCTCAGGCTGGCCTCAAACTCATAACGATCCTCCAGCCTCAGCCTCCCAAGTGCTAGGATTACAGGTGTGCACCACCACACTTGGCCAAGAGTTTGACATAGTGTTTAACAACTAAATTTTTCCTCATTATTACCTTTGTGCCCTTTTCACTAAAATTCATCTTAAACTAATTTTATGTACAGGATATATGGGAACAGCTGACACTCCCTTAGCTGTGTAAGTACCTGGATCTGTTCTTGAGTCCACTGATCGAGGTTAACTGATTTTACCCTGGATATGTGCACCCCCAGATTCCTGTGGATTCCAGCACATCGAATGCAGATAAACACACCAATGTTCCAGGAGGCCCATCGTGGCCCTGTGAGGGTCAGGAATAAGACAATCAAATATAAGTTACAAAACTCAATGCTCAAACCATATTATTTAGATTATCAAGCAACATTTTTTTTTTTGTAGTACCAGGAACTGAACTCAGTTCCCTGGCCCCTTCAAGCAACATTTCAGCTAGAACAAAAGTGGAAGTTTTTATCACAATGACCTCTTTATTAACTTTGTTCACTCCTCCACAGATCAACCTTTTTTTTTCTTAATTTAAATTAAGTATAGAGTACAGTAGTTTTTAGTATATTCAGATAGTTGTGCAAAGTCCACCACTATCTAATTCTGGAACACGTCCTCTCTCCTTCTTTCCCTCCCTAGATTGTTTTGTTTTTGTAGTACTAGAAATTGAACTCAAGACCTCATGTTGAGCTATATTTCCAGCCTTTTTATTTTTTGAGACAAGTTCTCCCTAAATTCCAGGCGGGGCTCAAACCTGAGATCTTTTTGCATCAGTCTCCCAAAGTGTTGGGATTACAAATAAGTGCCACCACCCCTAGCTTTTTTTTTTTTTTTTTTTTGAGGTGAAGTCTTGCTATGTTGCCTAGGTTGGTGTCAAACTCATGAGCTCATGAGTACAACGGATCTTGCTATGTTGGATTTCCATGCAGCTGGGACTATGGGCACATGCTATCATGTCTGACCTAATTCTAGAACATTAAATTGCATAAAAGAAAACCTAAACCCATGAGCAGGCACTCCATTTATTTCCAGTCTTTACCTGCTTACCCCTGGGAATCATGGATCTACATCCATCTCAATGGATTTGCCATAGAGACACTTAGCATAAAGAAAATTATGCAATATGCTGACATTTGCACAATGATGAGTGTTAAAAGCAGATATTGTAACACTCTGTTACATAGAGAAACAAAAAACCAGCAGGACAGTGCAAACTCAAGTCACATTCCAGCACCCTTATATCAACAGTCTCCCCCAAGAAATTCTCCAACCTAGCAGGTCTGGATCCTGTTTTCCAAATAGGAAAAAAGATACAGAGGCGGCTTGCTGGCCTAAAGCTCACCCTGAAACAGAAAACTGTGTCCTCTTCTTCCCTCCAGGCCTATAAAATATGCATCCATATTAACTTAACAGGATCCTTTCCCCTTGGGCTGATGTCCCTGCTTTACCCAACTGCAGAATTATCTAGATTCAAAATTGCCAAATAATGCAATTATTTCAGTGCTTATTGGAACAAAAGAGAAATCTCTCATACGAATTTTAATAAACTGTCACAGAATCTCCTACCCCCTGACAATTCTGTTCACTCTAATAATCACTCTGTAAAATTCTCAAAGTCCTCTGTACAAATTATATATGGAAAAAAGTGACTTACTTTTAATGACACCTGCCAGACTTACTAAAATAATCTGAAATAATTCCTTCTTCCTCATTCCACAGAAATTTACCACATAAAGTCTGCATCATATAAAATTAAGTGGTTGCAATAAAGAGAAGAAAAGACACAAATTGATGCTCTGCAGAGTTAAGCAGGGCCTGTGTCTGGAATAAGGAAGACTTGAATTCTGCAAACACAGACAATTATCTGGTTAGCTCACATGATTTGATGGTCATTATAATGAAGGAATATTAGATTGCTGTGGTAAAAATTATTCTTAAAAATTTGAGTCCACAATTATTATAAGAATGTAATTTTTTGATAAAGCTTTCATTTACTGAAGCACTACTACAAATTCAGAAGGCTTATTTCTCCTGATCACCACCAGGTGGGGATCTCTACCTGAAATTTTATCCCAATACCTTCCTTCAATTTTCTTGATAGGCTGATTTATCATCTAAGACAATCTTCAACCCCTTCAAAACCTTAAACGATTTTCAGCTCACCTTCCGTATGATAAACACACAAAGACTCACACACTTGTTTCAGGTGTTGGGGTATCATACAAATGCAAACTAAAAGTGAACAAATGTGGCTGAGACTTCTTAGGGCTCTCTATATCTAGTTTTACTAACAGTCTTCAGAATGCCAATAAAATCTGTTACGTAAGATTTAAAATGGAACCCCTTTATTCTATGGTCTTTCTGTTAGTGTTTATTCTAGTGTATTTATTTGCTAACAAAGTCAGAAGCCAAAAACACTGATTAAAAGTTAGCTGAGGATGTTAACATTGTCTGCTTCCTCATGAGAAGGCAATTCCCAGTGTAAGCCACCGTGACAACTGTGGAATTTCCCTAAATCCTTAGTTTTTTGCCCCTGAGGAATGTCAAGACTGAGAATCGATGCTCTGACAAGCCCGTAGAGCAAACGACAGCAACTATGTTCTCATGAAAAGCCAGAGGAGCGCCTCCTCAGCCCCTCTAACAGTGCCCCACCTGACATCTTCCTACCACCTCTTCCCAGTCCAATAGTGACTTCTAGCCTAGACACCTAGGCTTTTAGTTTAGAACCACTACACGTATTAGTCAGTAACTGCTTGATTCTGAAAGATTCTGAAGTTAGAGAAGAGAAAAATACAAGAGACCAAAGTTACAGCAGCTGGGTGTCGCGGTGTACACCTGTAAGCCCAGCACTTGGGAGGCTGAGGCAAAAGGACATCTGTGAGTGAGGCCAGCCTGAGCTTCAGAGCAAGTTCAAGGCTAGTTCAAACTATGTAGTGAGACCTGACTCAAAAACAAAACAGAACAGTTGAGCATTACTCATAGACTGAGGGGTTTTGGTCAGAGGCAGAGTGCTTGCCTATCTTACGTAAGGCCCTGGGATTGATCCCTAGCACTAGGGAAAAGGTTATTTATATATTGGGAAATACGGAGAATGGTGGAGTTATTAGAAGGACGAACTTTTCAGCCAGAAAACACGAGTATAAATGCAGCTCCCACCAATGGTTACCCAGGTGACTTTCAGTAAGATACTTAAACTTGCCAGACCATAGTTAATATAGTAACATTCTCTCAATAGCTCCTAGAACATAGAGAGCTAATAATGACAGCTAATGTGTGAGAATATGATATAGAATGAGGTTCCAAGAACCTATTTCCCATCCACCCTCACTGATAAAAGCCAGTTAATTCATTCATGCATTTGTACCATCACTCTATGTAATTTTTTTTTCGGTACCAGGGATCAAACTTACAACCTCATGCTTGCCAGGTAGGTGCTTATGCCACTGAGCTAAATCCCCAGCCCATCCAGCACTCTTATGTAACACGACAAAATGCTTGCTTTTGGATAGGAAAATGATCCTAAAATGTCAAAACTAAAAAACTGAATTATCAGAAAGGAATTTACCCTAGACACAATTGTTTCCTTATTTTAAAATAAATTTTATTGTGTATATTTAAAGTATACAACATGATGCTATAAGATGCATATATAGTAAAATAGTTACTGCTATAATGGAGTGAACCCAATTTCCTTTTTTCTTTTGTTTCTTCCTTTTTTTTTTAATCAGTACTGGGGATTGAACTCACGACCGCCTGCTTGCAAGGCAGGTGCTCATGCCACTGAGCTAAATATCCAGCCCCCTCTTTTTTTTTCTTTTGACACAAGGCCTTGCCCTGTAATTCAGGCTGCCCTTGAATTCACTATGTAGTCCAAACTGGCCTTGAACTTGTGGTGAGCCTCCTGCCTCAGCCTCCTGATTATGGATCAATTTATTTTCCTCAAAGTAGTCTCTGAAAACGCACTATCTAAAGCTCCCTCTGTTCCCCTCCTCTGCTCCATTCCCCACCCAGCCCTTGTGTCCACATGTGCCCCATAGCACACACAAAGGAAGAAGGGCTAGAGCTGTCTGCTTGAAGGTGGGGTTCTTAGATTCTGCAGCACTAGCATCACTGCCACAAGACCAGCCTAGTTACATCTGGAATACTTACAAAATAAACCAACTGCTCACACACACACTGATTATGGAAAACAAGGAGAAAAAAGATACCACTTGAAATTGTAAATGGAAAGAGATGCTGAGACGGTATTCTAAACAACGCTGTAAGCAAAAATGATAGAGAAATGAAATAAACTGGTAGTGATTTGCACAATATGAAACTAAGGTCACAGGCTGTGGATGTAGCTCAGTGGTAGAGCACTTGCCTGGCCTGTGTGAGGCATTACATTTGATCTCCAGCACTACTAAATAACATCAACTGTAGAAAATGCAATTCAATATGCAGAAACCTGAGCTCAGCCTGGTTGCATACATTTTGCTAAGACTTTCTAGGGCTTACAGTCTCCATTTGAAAAATGGGAAACATGTAAATAACATCTAAGTTAATATCAACTTCCAGACAGCATCACATATCAAGTTACTGCTGTTCTCCTGTAAATCTCCCTTGCTGCTAAACTTCCCTCACCACCAGAGCAGCCAGGATTAGAAGGGTTCCAGGCTTGCGAACTCAGAAGAGGAAGAACTAGATACAGACTATTGCTTCCAGCTACCATGATAATAATTACAGCCTGTTGATCTCTCACTTACAGAGTTCAGGTAAGTAAAATTTGGAAAAATGATAAATTTATGGCTATCTATATTTTGACTTGACATACTATGGTGTTATGAACAAGATGAAGGAAGAGAAAGAAAAATATTTTCCATCTTCCATCCAACCTCTGTTGAATGTACCTTGGAACCTTCTAGAATTTATCTGTTTCTTTCTAGACCTTTTCATCTCTTCCCCTATAAGCATTCATTCTATCAGCATTATTTATTGTATACCTGGTCCCAACTACTCTTCTTATGTGTATGGGGGATACAAAAGTAAAGAAATGAGATTTCTCCATTTGAAAAAAAGATTAAAAAGTAAGTAGGTACTAGACTCTTATAAGAATCTTTCTAAAGCCAGGCATAGTGGCACATGCTTGTAATCCCAGCATTTGGAAGGCTGAGGCAGGAAGACTGCTGCAAGTTTGAGGCCAGCCTGGGCTACAAAGTAAGTTCAGGGCCAGCCTGAGCTGCATAGTGAAACTGTCTCAAAAAGACCCAAAAAAAAAATCTTTCTAAAACAAATCTGTACAGACCAGACCTCTGAATA